ATCTGAAAGGTCATCAAAAAATTGTTCCATATCTTTCAATTCTCCTTCTGCCATAAGTTTTAACCTAAACAGGGAAAGTAAACCACATTTTTTTTTAGGATATTAATAATATGCATCAAATAAAATATTCTTCTATTTCAGGTACAGATGAGTGAAGAGAAACAGAACCAAGTGGTAGCTAATTCATGACGCCCAGAAGATTTTTATACACGAGCCAAATCGAAATATATTGAATATTAATAATAAGCACAATAATAATCAGGTTTGGGGTTTTTTTCTTTTTTAAACAGTTCTTTAAATAAAGAGAACAGTTAGAAAATATTGTTATTCTTTCGATGAAACAATTAGGAACCCAAAATAGACTGATTTTTTAAACTGTTGCTGTTTAGCGAGTTAGCTTTACTGAGTTAGTTAGATCTTCCATATCACAGCAACTTTAAAACTCCGACGCTTGGCTTGTGTGCCTTTCAGAACGTATTGACGAAAACTAAGAAAACTGTAGAAGTACATTTTTGCTCCCAAACGTATGACATTTTAACTATACATTTACACATTTCAGAGCACTTCTTCACAGAGATCAGAGTAGATACGGGTAGCGCAGAGCACGCATGTAACAGCTCACCCATCTTTCACAGAAATACTGGCTGTGGCGGTGGAGTTTTCACGTTTGCAGTACAGGATACAGAAACCACACGAGGGAAGGGCTTCACTGAACGACACAAGCCTTTCCTCGGCCTCCAGCCGCAGGGAAGCCTGGCTCGCTGCGACTTCGTGCCTCCCTCCACAGCGGGGGCCGGGGCCCGACCCTCAGCTGCTCTCCCCTCGCCTCGCCTCGCCTCCCCTCCCCGATGGCAGGGACACGGTTTAAGGGTTTCCAGAGGGCGGGCCGCGGCCCCGGCGCCCACCTGATGTGCACGGAGCTGGCCAGGTGCGAGCAGGACTCCTCGATGGCTTTGAGCAGTCGCGACAGCGGCATGTCAGGGCCCTGGGGAGGAGAGCGATATGTCGCGACAGGCCACAACACAAGCGGCCCCTTGGGGTCGCCTTCCCTCCCCCTCGGGGCCCGCCCCCGACCTGCAGCAGCGGCAGCAGTAGCCGGTTGAGCCGCCGCCGCTCCAGCAGGCCGAGCTGCGCGCCGGCGCGGCCCAGCTCGCTCAGGAGCACCAGCAGCGCCATCTTGTAGGGGGTGACCCAGTCCTTGATCCCGAAGACGTTGGCATGCACCACGCCGTTCGTCATCATCGGGTTGAAGTAGAGGCTCTCGTGCACGCTCGCCATGGCGGCAACCGGCCGCCACCGGCCGCCCGCCCCGTCGCCCGGGAAACCGGGCTCGCCCGCCGGCCAATCGCCGCCGCCGTCGCCATGACGCGAGCAGCCCCGCGGCCAATCGGAGGAGGGGCTGTGCGGCGCTACAGCGGGGCCGGCTGTCGGCCCGAGCCCAGGAGAAACGTTCCGGGGAGAGAAGGATCCGCGCGGCGCCGCCTGGAGGTAAGCGGGCGAACGGCGGGGGCGGCCGCGCAGGGCGGTCGGGCGTGCTGCGCTGCACCGCGCCGCAGCCGTCCACCAGGCTGTGGGCTGTGGCGAGCTACGGCCAGCGTCTTGCGTGGGCTGAGCCGCAGCCCGTTAACAGCCGCAGGCCAGCGGCTGGTCACGGCTCCTCCACTGACACCGGCCTCCGCGCCGCTCCCGCCACAGGGACCGCGGCCGGCGGCTCGGTGGGGCCGGCCGCGGAAGAGTCCAGGAGGGGATTCGCCGGACAAAACGGGGAAACTTGATCCGGGCTCTGATGCGAGCGTTTGCTTGGGGCGACCGGAGAACACCGGGGACTGAATTCGCTCCTGTTCGCTTGGGTTTCTTGCAAATTAATTGTGATGCGATAAAGATACTTCCACACATAAGTTTTTGTTTTCTCAAGGACTTGTTAAAGTACTTCATTAAGGCATCGTGTTCCCAAAGAAAACACTCCTGTTATTGTAATAGTTCTCATTTTTGTAAGCGAGAGCAAACCAAAACTCAATATTATTATAGATCTGCATGTCCCCGGGGATTTCAGTTGAGTTCCTCCTGATTCTCGTGCCTGGGTGTGGTGAGAGGAGGAAGAGGTGAACCAAGCGTGGAGTAATTTTCTAGAATACATTTACATTTAAGAAACTTAATGTTGTAGTTAGTTGTCGCTGGCATAATTAATGATACCTTCCTAGCCCTCAGTGAACTAATACTCATCAAACTATATCTGAATATAAACCCTGGGAAAAAAAACACAGCTATTATATTACAAAGGTCAACTTGCTGACATTTCCTGAAAATAAAGTATGACGGCTTGGGCGGAAACACCAAAATGGTGGAGTGGCTTGGCAGGGAGGGGCAGGAGATGAGATAAAGGCCGGGCTGCAGCCAGCATGTGCAGAACTTGGAGGAAAAAGGAAATGACAGACATCTGGTTCTGACATTTCCATGTAATTCTCTGAAGCCAACGTGCGAACTCTGCTGACAATCCTTCAGGGTGTGGTATGGAGAACATTTAGACTATCGTTTTTAAGCATATTTAAATAAACTCGCACACCTAAAACCCAGCTCTCTAAATAAGCAGCAAGAGATTATTTTGGTCATATTAAATTCAAGATTAGGTGATGCAATTGAGAAAGTAATCTTTTATCTTACCAAAACTAGGCTCAAGCCCAAGTGACGTGCCTGAGCTTATGAAGTATGAAACAGCTACCGTCTGGGTTTGGGGATATTTAGCGCAATGCTGAATCTGTCGAACTGAGTCTCTGTAATCTGAAAACCTTCACAAAGCTACTTCCAAAGTATCGTGCCTCTCTGGTATAAAAAGTGAATACTGTAACGATTCTTCCTATAGGTATTAATATCCAATCTGAAATTCCCAAATAAAGCCCAGCTTTTTTTTTTTTTTTAAACTTTACTACAAAATTTTGCAAATTGTTACATGAAAAACAAATGAATATTCCTGGTAAGAATCACTTCTCTACCTCGCTCTCTCATGATGTGTAAAACCTTGGGGGATTACCGAGCTGCAGCGAGTCATCATCACTTGTTATTTCATGGCAGAAGTAAATGGGACATCTAGCATTAATAGATTTAAATCTTTTAATGCTTCTTTGGCACGATCCAGAAGGCTCAGTGAGGGCAAGTCTTTTATTAATAGAACCTCTGCAAATGCTTCTTTTCAGCCACAGAGTAGCTGGCGGAGTTAAAGATCCTTGTTTAAAAACAGTCTATGTGGTTACAATTTAGACACGCTACTGCGTTAAAAGTGATCTCAGATCACATGTTATGAAGATGATTCATCAAGATCTGCCCAAATTAAGGCGGGAGTGGCAACTGCAGCTGCCAGCACAGTCACCAGATCTCGGCTCTGTCAGGCCCACGTTACTCCCTAAAACATCTGTGTTTGGGAGGATTTCTTGTTGGCAAGCCCTTAACAGAGCTAAAGGAAAAATTTTAGACTTTGCTTGGTTTGGCTCACCTGTGGGACAGAGCTTTTACCCTGCTTACAGCGACTGCATGAGAAGCTCTCCTGTTTTAATGTAAGATTATTAACAAGAATATGTGTATAATTTGGTACTTCAAGGATGACTCTCTGAACCAACAGAGTTTAGGTGACATAGAAGTTTTTAAAAAACAGACTGTACTGATATTTCTTAAGGAGTCTTAAAGCAATCTCTTGCATAAGAAATGTGGGAAATGTGCCATTGCTTGTTCCAACATTGTATTCACAAGGCTTTTCTACTATCTTTTCAGTTGCGTTGACTAAAATTGCAAGCTATTATTGGGGGAAAAAGCACCATTTTTTATTAAATCATGTGTAAAAGTTGATAGCATATCAAAAGCTTGTCGAGGAGCATAAGCATTTCCAAAAAGAGATGACCTGATTTTGAATTAAGATATGGCGTCAGGGCAGAAGTTGGACTGCACGAAGTATCTGCTCTTGATGCTAACACTGCCAAGACTGTGCCATTTTCGTGGCAATTACATACTGATTTTTTTGGACTCAGTTCTTGTATCTGGCTTGCTCTAAAAATAGATCCGTTCTGCAGAAATTAGTAAAGATTGCATGCAACCTTTTGTATGGGTAGATTTGATTTGTGGTCAAAATTTATTTTCAGCCACTTTTGTCTGTCCCTCTTTTTGGCAAAGGCCTCCTTTGTTCTTGGCCCTGTGTGCTCTTATGTAAAGCTTTCCTGAAGACTTGGTCAGGTTTGTATTGTTGGGGTTTCTTTAATGTAATCTTCTGGTTAAAAAGCTTTCAGTTCTTACAACCTATGATTTTTTTTTTTTTTAATGTATCCCATTCATAGCGCAGAGAAAATAACAACGGGATCTAGAAGCTAGCTGAAACTGGATTTTTAAATAATAAACCTTCTATTATTTAAAGCTTATCACCAAAGGGCTTGGTAGAATAATCACCACTTTGGCCTTTTGCCTACAGCACCGAGGCTTTTAATTACCTTTGTGACAAACCACTGCTTGTACGCAGAGGTGCCAAAACACCTGTATTTTGGCAGCTGTCAGATCCGCCCCCAGACCCGCGGAGGCACAGGGCTGCTGCCCGACCCCCTTACTCCCCACTGGGCGGATGACAGCCGCCTTCGTTACCCTGGCATCTACTTCTGCTTAAATACACAGGAAAACCCCAAATCACCCAAAACCGTGAGGTAAAAGTCCTCTCTTATTTCAGTGACATCACTATTTACGCACTTACAGCTGTCAGTGGCCCCTTCTTTTCGTGTTTGAGGGGTATTTTCGCGAGACCCGCCGAACCTCCGCGCCCGCGGAACCTCCGCGCCGGCCCCCGCCAACCCACTGCCGCGTCCTCTCCTCCCATTGGCTCCACCCGCTCGCTGTTGGCGGCGGGAGAACCAATGGCGTGCGGCGCAACGGGAAGGCCCGCCCTCCGTGAGGCGGCCCGCTGGAGCGCCGCGCAGGGCGGGGGCCCGCTCCGGTAGCGGGGGGGTGGGGGGTGGGGGGTGTCGGTGCCGGGGGCTTCGCCGCGGCAGACGGCGCTGGAGCGAGAGTGGCGGTGGTGAAGCGGCCATGAAGGTGACCGGGGCGGGCGAGGGCGTTCGTCCGGCCGGGAGAGCGTCTTTCCCCTCGCTGCGGGGAGGGAGGGAGGGAGAAGGGGGGCGAACCGGCACGTGAGGGACCCCCGGTGGGATAGGACGGGCCG